ATGGTACCAGGAGTCAGGTGAGTGCCAGCTCGCTTCCAGGGAGCATAGTCGCCCCTGGGTTCCTCAGAGTGATTTGCAGGATCCTTTGTGTCACTTGCTTCAGCACCTCTCTGTACCCCCATGAATCAAGTCAAAGACAGCTTTTTTTTCTTAAATGAAGCAAAATAGTTTTTGTTGAATGAAATTTACTTAGAAACAACTAGGAGGAGATAAAGACAATTATGTATTCTGAAGAGAGCCGTAGAACGATACGTGTGCCCAGGGGAATTGTGCCCGGAAAGAACATTCCTTTTTCTTGCCTTTGATGTGTTTTTGTTTTGTTTGGGATCACACCCAGCTGTGTTAGGACTTGCTCCTGGCTCTGCACTCAGGGATCACTCTTGATGGGGCTTGGGAAGGACCATGTCGGGTGCTATGGCTCTAACCCAGGGCATGGGGCGGGGCGGCTGGGGAGGAGGCACACACGGCAATGCTTAGGGGTCACCCCTGGATCTGCACTCAGAAATTATTCCCCTGGCAGTGCATGGGGGAACCATATGGAATTCTGGGATCAAACCCTGGTTAGCCGCGTGCAAAGCAAGTGACCGACCCGCTGTACAATCACACCAAACCCCCAAAGGTTCCCAAACTTATTGAACCTATTGCCTTCTGTTCAGAATAAAAGAAACAAATAAAAACTGAAAACCCATTCAGCATGCCCCCTGGAAATGCAGCTTCCTTAAGCAAAGAGAAAGGGTAAGCGCTGTGGCACGGCAGATGCTGTGTCTTCCCCTGGATCATTCAGCGACCCCCAGGGAGGGCGGAATTGTCCACTTGGGGAAACTCTGGTGTAGACTCTGGAATCTTTCAGTCCTGGTTTGAATCCCAATACTATGACCGAGTTGGGCCCAGGATTTGGGTCAGAAACACTGCCTCTTGTCACTGAGATGGTTTCTGTCAGCCCAGTGACCTCCCATCCTACCCCGAGCAGTTCCCTGCCCTCACGAAGAAGACTCGGGGTGCTTGGAATCAGTTAACAGGTGGTACCCAGCTCCTGTCCATGGCCCTGAGCACCAGCCCAGGGGTACCTTACCCGCTCCCTGGTGGCAAATCCTTCTTCACAGAGACATTTGTCGCCGTAGCCCTGAGCTCAGGTGTGGGCTGCCCCAGGGCTGGGCCCAGGGGCCATTCCCTGTCCTGGTTTGGCCAGTTAAGCCTGCCCAGGCAAGAATCCTCCCGGGAATCCCCCTCCCACCCCCAGCCCTCCTGGGCGCACAAACCCAGCACCACCCCTGACGTGTGAACCTTTTCCAGCTTCTTTTCCACTGGAAAAAGCTGATTCTGGGTCGGGTTGGTGGGGAACCGCTGGCACAACCTTATTTAAGCGCTGGATTTGGAGGAGAATGACTGTGAGGTCTGGAGGGGAAAGTGGAAAATAAAGCTATCAAATAAATACCAGTCGTCCAGGTTGGGGCGCCCCCGCCCCTTTTTCTTCCCCCGGTGGAAGGCTGTGTCCCCTGCAGTGCTGACGCTGGACACCAGGTGGCGCCCTTCAGAACACCCAGGCCCCCTCCGCGGGTGGCTGTTTCTGGGCACTCACGCAGAAAACTTCCACCGGAGGCCACGGGTTCCGGCAAGCTGGCTGCTGCCCTTCACTTTGGCACTGGGGCTGGGGCAGGGGCAGGAAATCAGCTGTCACCTTCCCCCGCAGGCCGGGCTGACGTGATTCGGAGGGTTGGCTGAGGGCCGGAGCTATAGTTCAGCAGGCAGGGCACTTACCACACACACAGGTTCCGTCCTAGGGACCCCCGAGCCCCACCAGGAGTAAGCCTGAGCACAAAGCCAGGAGTAAGCCCTGAGCCTCGCCTGGCGGTGGCCCAAACCCTCCCACCCTCACCCGCAAATAAACCAAACACAACCCAGAATGTCGGCCTCTGGGCCCAGTCCCGCGCTGTGTCGGGTGGTCAGTTACCGAGAATGGGGACCGGGCTGGGCGGGGTCCCCCAACATTGCTCAGGGGTACCTGGGAGGGGACCGCTCCTGGCAGTGCTCAGCCAACTGGGCCAGACCTTCAGTGCCAGGATCTGCAGTTCCTGGGGGGGGGGGGGGGGTGCTAGGCCACACCCATCACTTTTCGGGGCTCATGATGTGTGGACTAAACCAGTGCTGCATGCCGCAGGCGCAAAGCACGTGTCCCCACGCCCCATGCCATCCCCACCTCACACAGGTGTCGCTTCTAGGTGGAGAAGGTCTGCAGATGGGCTCAGGGACAAGTGCTCACCTGGTTGTTTTCCCGGCATCTCATGGCCCCTGGTGCTCCCTGGCACTACAGCATCTGAGCAGGGAACCATCTGGCCTGGTCAGGGCTGAAAATAGCCCCTGAGAACTGCTTGGGATGACCACTTCCCCCTCTGCAGAGAAAAGGCGCTGTTAGGTTGTGTGAGAGGTGGGCGTGATCCCACAGGAATCATGGGCAACACGGTAGGAGGTAGGGGACCCCTGTGTCTTGGGATTTCAGGTGGGAGACAGGTGACAGAGGTGGGGAACCCTTGGCACGAGAGTGTCGGGTGGGAGAAAAGCAACGGGGCTGGCGGAGACTCTGGGTTTGGCAAGAGCCGGGAACTTTCTGGAGAGTCCCTGAGAGAAGCAGGGAATGGAGAGGTTAGGGACAGAGTCCTTGGCACTGTGGTCAGCCGGACATGGAGAAAGGACAGTGGGGTTGGTGTGCCCAGGCTGCCTGGCCACAGTGGCATGAGAGGCCACGTGAGGAAGATGGGAGGAGGTTCTCTAGGACCTGCTGTTTGCAGCATCACCGTGCCCAGCACCTCCTGTTGGGGAGGCAGGGAGAGAGACCAGGAGGAGGGGCCCCCGGAAAGAGGCCAAGAGTCCCACAGAGGGGTCCGGAGCGGGGGGTGGGTTGCTGTCACACCAGCTAGTGTCCTCTGTGTCACTGCGAGGTCACGGCTGCGAGCTGGGCGCTGGAAACTTCTGTGTGCACCCCCCCACACACCCCAGGGAGTGGGAGTGAGGACTTGTGAGAGCGCCTGGTTAACCGGCAATTTCCTTTCCCCTAATAAACGTCCTAATTCTCAGTAATTGAAGGAGAGGCACCCGGGGTCAGCTGATGAGGCTTTAATTCGGGGAATGCGGAAGGAAGGCAGCTAGAGGCCAATTACCCTGTCAGCCGCCCAAGCTCATTCCCATGATTCACGGGGAGAGTGACACGGGCTAGGGGTCCACAGGCAGGGGGACTGTCCCTGGGGCTGAGTCCCGGGAGAAGCTTTCTCGGCCTGGGGAAACCCAAACCTGAGGGTCTCTGCACGGGAGCGGGAGAGCTGCCCTGTTCTGGGTCTCCTGCCCGGCCAGTGCTCACATCCCAAAAGCAGGTGTGTCGGTGGGGGCCTCCTCATGGCCCCTCCGGTTCTGCCTGACTTGCAAGAGATATGGCATCAGTCCGTCCTCCTGGGGGCCTCCGTTTCCTTGGCTCGAGGGCCACTTCTTAGGCTAACAGCAAATTGCATGCCCGCTCTTCTATATCTGTAAGAGCCACGTGTCTTTTTAAAAAATTTTTATTTATAAGGTTGTTCACATTAATTTATTACATTCAATATTTCGACACCAAGCCCACCAACATGATACCGACCCACTATCATTATTTCAAAATTTCCCACCACTGTTCAAGCCTGCCTGCGAGGGGCCAACGCTAGATAATTTATTTATTTATTTTTTTTTATTAGTGAAACACCATGAGGTACAGTAGTAGATTTACAATTTTTTTAGATAATTTATTTTTTTATTTTTACTTATTATGAACACCATGAGAGGTCACGCGACTGCGAAAGCGGCTGCATCCTTCTGGAATTCTAAAATTGGAAATGGTTGGGGTCCAGAGACATCTCTGTAGGGAGCTAATTCGTTTTGAAATTCCTCTGGTAGTCTCTGGATCAAGACCGTTGATGCGCTGAGATGGTGCCTGAAGGCAGATCATGGGCGTGACAGCCAGGCCCCCAAGTGGGTGGGGAGATGGGAAGAGAACCACATGTCTTTTTTTATTATTATTATTTTTTAAAAAATTTTATTAGTGAAACCCCATGAGGTACAGTTGCAGACTTACAAATTTTTGTGCTTGGGTTTCAATTATACAATGATCGAATACCCATCCCTCCACCACTGCCCATTTTCCACCACCATGGGTCCCAGTATTCCTCCCATTCCCCATGCCCCCCATCCCACCCTGCCTCTGTGGCAGGGCATTCTCTTTTTGTTCTCTCTCTCCTTTTGAGTGTTGTGGTTTGCAAAAGAGGCAATGGGTGGCAGTCATGTTTGGTCTAGAGTCTACTTTCAGCATGCTTCTTCCATCCTGGGAGGATCCTCCCAACACCCTTTATTTGGTGCTCCCTTCTCTATCTGAGCTCCCTTTTCCCCTAGCATGTGTGGCTGGCCTCCAAGCCATGGAGCAAAATTCCTGGTACTAATCTTGGCCATTCTTGGATGTTAGTCTCCTATTTTGTTACTTTATGAGAACCACGTGTCTTACACATGTTTGGGAACAGCCCTCATCTTGGTAACGTGGGGGCGGGCCTGATCCAACTCCAGGCCAGGACTAGGCTCAGCCTCTTTCTGCTGCTGGCCTTGGACACCAGGGTCCTCCCTGGTCCTCCAGAGAGGCCGTGGCCTGGAAGACTGTTGGGGGGTGGGGGTCCCTCCGCTGCTGGCAAGATGGAGAATGCCAGCAAAGGCTCAGAGGCAGGGATGAATAGACAGGGGCCCCAGGCAGGGAGGTGGGGGCACTGGAATGGGGCCGGGCTGTGAAGTGAACATTCTAGGATAAAACATCCTAGGCCTAACGAAGCCAGGTCCCAACCTGTACTGGACCCCTCATTCTGGCTGACTCCCCAGGGGTCACAGTTTGGTGAGTGATGAGCAGAGGGAGGTGAGTGGGTGGGGGCTGGGGTGACAGGTCAGCCTAGGTCCAGGCACAGCTGAAGGGTCAGGGCTTTGGGGCCTGGGGCCTCGACCTTCGGGGAGGTGAAGTTCACCATCAGACAGACCCACAGGAAGGTGGTGGAAGCGAACCTCTGAGGCATCTTGAGGGCCACAAAACCCTTCCTTCCCTTTAGCCAAAGGGCCAAAGGTGAGCTGGAAAGAGACTCCCTCCCTGACCCGGTTTACATTTGTACTTCGAACTGAACACCGGGCAGGGCTGCAGAGGCCTCCAGGGCTGGGCCGGGCCAGGCAACCAACAGGAAGACACATGAGATTTTCGGAAAGTTGGGTAGGTCAGAGGCTAGCAAAGACTTAAAGATTGGAGCGGGCCCCTCACCCCGGGGTCCTAATTTAGAGCAATGGTCACGCGGAATTCAGCTGTGTGCGCCTGTCAGCCGTCCGTTAGGGATGTGGTGAGGTGGGTTTTGGTTTCTCCACTGAGCAGCTCCTGTACCTTGTCAGAAATGAGATGGCTGCAGCCTAGAGGGGTAGTACCAGGGACTGGAGCATCACAGGATCCCTAGGTCCCATCCTCAGCACCACTTGGTCCCCTTCCCAACCCCAGAACCACCAGGAATGGCCCCTGAACCAAAAATAAATAAAAAGGTAATTGTAGCATTAGGTATGAAAACAGTTAAGGAATAATAATTATCAAGATTAGAAATTTGACTTAGTCCAGAGCCCAGCAGCTTGCAGAAGAAAAGTGAATGAACCATGCATTAAACTACGGCGCCATGCCTCCCCAGAGGGAAAGGGTGTTGCTCCCTTCTGCCTTTTTCCCCCCTGGTAGCAAGGTGGCCGCTGCCTCAGAGCTTATAGGAAAGCCAGGTATGAGCCAGCGGTGACAGGGCAACTGCAGTCTCATGGGAAGAGGGGGTGGTACTGGCACGTCCTTCACGCCCTAACGAGGTCATGAGTTAGCCCCCATGAGCAGCTCTCCGGCACAGCCATAACACCAGACACACAGAAACCAATCTCGTAATTATCTGGCTCTTTGCAGAAATCCAAAATCGTGGCCGTGTAACATTATATGATTCTCATAACCAGCTATAGAAAACAAAATATTTCACAATGCCTTTTCAGTGATTCTGATTGTTTGGGGGGGTGGGATTCTAAACAATAATGGTGCATCTTTTGTCGAAATAATGAATGTAATCAATGTAGAGAAGAGTTAAGTAGAAATCATCTGCCTCACAGGCATTTGGAGGGGTGGGAGGGTGGGTATACTGGGGTTCTTGGTGGTGAAAAATGAGTACTGGTGAAGGGAGAGGTGTTTGATCATTGTGTGACCGAGACTTAAACCTGAAAGCTTAGTAACTTTTCCCACAGTGATTCAATAAATAAATCAAACACTGTCACTGTCCTCCCGTTGTTCATCGAGTTGCTCGAGCAGGCCCAGTAACGTCTCCATTGGAGACTTTGTTGTTACTGTGTTTGACATATTGAATACATCACGGGGAGCTTGCCAGGCTCTGCTGTGCGGGCGAGATACTCTCGGTAGCTTGCCGGGCTCTCCTAGAGGGGCGGAGGAATCGAACTCGTGTCAGCCATGTTGTCTGCATGAAGGCAAACGCACTACCGCTGTGCTATCGCTCCAGCCCAATAAATAAATATAAAAAGAAAATAAATAATAAAATTAAGGTGGAGTTCATGCCCAATTCAATCAGCTAATCAGTGGCAGAATAAATAGCAGTACTCCTACAAAAGAAAAAAAAAAAGAAAAAGAAAGATTAGAAATTTGGAGAACAACCCTCACCCAAACCACGGTAAGTAGCCAGTGGCCAGCAAGTGACCTACAAGTCTCCAGCTCTGAATTTATTCTTCTTAGAATCACAATTGGGAAAAGTGGGAAAGAGCCAGGCCCAGAGACAGTCGGGCAGTTAGTTAGGGGGCATGCCCGGCCTGCCCCAGCCTAGGTCTGATCCTGAGCTTTGCTGACTGCACCCCTAAAGGCCCCTGGCACCCCCACAGTGGTCTGGGGGTCCTCAACTCTGCTGGACCCAAGCAGCCCCACACCCTCAGACCCTGGCACTGAACCACAGGCTGTGTTGGCCGAGAATAGCCAGAAGGGGCTTTCAGATCTCTCAAGAACCTCCCTCAAAAACGGAAGGGGCCACGAGAGATTGTATAGCTCCTGATCCAGGTATCCCATATGATCCCCTGAGCACAGAGCCAGGAGTAGGCCCCTGAGCATGACCAGGTATGGCTTGAGATCATAAAGAAAAAGTAAGAACCATAAACTTCCCCCAAAGGACCAGCAATGACTGGGTGGCCTCTGAGGGCAACCAGCAGATCTCAGGAGTGCAACCACCTCTGCAGCTATTTGGAATTTAGAGGTTTCTGAAAGGTGCCCCCTTGGCGCCTATTGTGGGGACTGCCTCCCATCTTCACATCCCGGGGCTACAGGGCTTGGTCAGCCCACCCCCAGCCCAGGCTTGCAGCATCTACAGATGGGACCGGGAGAGACTCTCAGTCACCCAGCAGGATGCCACATCCTAGTCTGGGGTCAGTGTAGAATCCTGCCTGGCCCCTCCCCACCTAATGAGACAAGTGGGTGAGAAAAGGTAAAGGGAGAAGAGGGGAGTGGGTGAGACGGAGCCACTGTGCGTGGCCGCCTCCTGCTGCCTTCCTGGCATGCACACTGCCTCTTGCTGGTGTCCCCTCCGCATCCCCCCTGTGCCTTCCCTGCACAGATGACCACTGCAGGGAGGTCTCCAGTGGATACTGGTGCCCTGGATGCAGAGAGATGGCCCTGTCTACAGAATGGTGACTCCGTGGGTGGGACTCAGTGTAAAGCAGCCTCCGGGCTGCAGAAAACCTTGTAGAAAATGCATAGGCATGGGGGTCCTATGCTCAGACGTGAGCACACCCCCCCCATCCCCACAGGCCATGTGGTCAACATCAGCAGCCTGCTGGAGCATGTGGTCAGCCGGCATGCTCCCCCTACTGCATGGCCAAGCTCAGGGTGGAGGCCTCCTGGGACTGCCCATGCTGTGAGGCCTCCTGGGACTGCCCATGCTATGAGATGTTCCCCAAGCATGGTGGAGCCTGGCATCGCCGCCACCAGCCTCTGCAGCCCCGAGTGCGTCCCGGCCATCACTGAGCAGATGTGGGCCCAGCTGCCAGGTGTGGTATGCCAGGACTACGGCCATGACTGCTGTGAGGAGAAGGTTGCCAGGATGAGACCTACTGCAGCCGCTGTGACTCCACCACCAACACCCCTCCCCAATCATCACTGCCATCACCCACGCCCTCACGGCCGACAGCCTCTACACCCACGACCACCCCATGGACTGCTGCTGGTGGCTGAATGTAGATCATGACCCACTTGCCTGGCACAGTGTCCTACCACATCTACATGCAGTGAAGTGTCCTACAGCCCCCTGCACCCAGCTGTGGAGGTGGGGTGGGGGATATGGAAAGACTCAGCCGGTGTAATTGCCTCTAGATAATCACAGACCCCGGGACCCACCCTACTCAGCACAGACTGCGGCCCCCAGACCTCAGGGCAGATGTGGTGCCTCCATCGTCATGATTTTCAATAAAAACAGATTTATTATAACCTAGAACCCAAGTCCTTTTTATAATTCTTGAGCCAAGATATCAACTCAAAAAAATTATTACCATTTTAATCTTGTTTGAGCCTTCAGGCGGCCTGGGGTGCATGAATTTACAATCCGAAGAGGTTACGTGAATAACTTTTTAAAAAATTATTTTGCTTTGAAGTGATCCAAGTTGTGTGTTCCCACCAGGGCTGTGGAACAATGCACGTTTCAGGGCTAGAGAGATCGTAAGGGGCAAGGGGCCTGCCTGGCATGTGATGGACCCGAATTTTATCCCTGGCACTATTTATGGTGCCCAAAGCACTGCCAGGAGGATCCCCGAGACAGAGCAACAAAAAAACCAAGAAGACGCACTTTGATGTGCCAGGCTGCTCTGTATCCTATCTGAGACGCCCCAACCAACTCCCTGTTCTTGCGTGGACCACACATGCCCTGTGTGCGCCCCTCCCCCTGCCCTGCACCCATAGCTGCTTTTACAGAGCTCACTATACGTGGAGGCCACGGGCCCTTTTGGAGGTTTCCAGCGGCAAAGCGCTGTTTCTCTGTGAGGACGTAGGTGGGCTTGTGCGGAGGTGCATCAGCTCTGAGAGCCTCTGCATCCACTGTGCCTGGACAGGACATGCCCATCCCGCCAGGCACTGGGCATCTCCTCCGTCAGGGCAGGAGGCCAGGCCAGGCCTGCCTGCTGTCTCCCACAGTGCTCTCTCTCACTCCCTGTCTGTCTGTCTGTCTGTCTCTCATCCCACCCAGGCAGGGTTCAGCTCCCCTTCCTGTCCCATATGGTGCTCTCACACACACACACACACACACACACACACACACACACACACACACACACACACTTCCCTGTACTCTCCAGGCAAGGTCCAACTCTCCTTCCTGCCTCACACAGTGCTCTCTCTCTCTCTCTCTCTCTCTCTCTCACACACACACACACACACACTCACACACACACACACACACATACACACTCACACACTTCCCTGTATTTCCCTGTACACTCCATCCCTTCCCAAGCTGGATGCATCCTTGCTTTCTGTCACACATGGTGCATGCACGCGCGCGTGTGTGTGTGTGTGTGTGTGCGCGCGCGCGCGCGCGCATGCGCGCACGCAAACACACTCACACACACACAACAGTTGTACAGAGCTCAAGTGTCCACCGATACCTGTCCTTCCTTTCACTGAGAAGCCAGGTCGGGGACACACGGAGGCAGAGTCTTGTGCCACCCTTTGTGATAGATTTGGAGGCTGCCGTCCCTGCGATTGTCCAGTGACTGCATGGTTGGAACAAAACCAGGCTCCACCCAGGTGCGCGCTGGACAGCCCAGGGCCCACCCTCGGGCAGGCTAGAGCCTCCACCTCGCCTAGGAAGCACCTGAGTGCCGCTAGAGGGCGCCCTGGGCCCTCTGCAGGGGACTCACCTCCGCTCCCAGCTCTGCGCTTGCACAAAGCCCCAGGTCTGGAAAACAGGTTTCTTGCTCATAAATCGTCTGGGTGCAGAGCCAAAAGGCCCCTTTCGGAACAGTTCCTGCCCTTCTGAGTAGCTGCCTGGCTGAACCGTGGGGGCTGGTGCCAGGAGGAGGGGGCGGGGGCTCTGATGAGCCTTTCTGTCATTGCCCCCGTCTCGGCCCAGCGCCCTGTCTGCAGGGGGTCCCTGGCAGGGGTGCTATGTTTCCAGCAGAGCCGGACGGAGCTCCCCAGAGGGACGGCTGATGGCCACTGTGCTTATGTAACCGAAAGATCCTTTTATACCACAGACTCGCCTTCCAGAGTATCATTTTTTACATCTTGGGAGATTTTGTTTGCAGGATTTGTTTTATTAAAGGAAAAGGGATGCAAGTGTTGGCATTGTCAGTGTGCCTGGGCCGGGGAGCTGGTCCCGGGCACTTGTCGGGCCCAACAGCAAACCCAACTCAGGAGAAGCTGGATTCTCTGCCAGATGACAGGAGTGTGAGGCCCCGAGCAGGGAAGTGACCCTCAGCCTCCCGCGGGTCTGGGCACCCCCAGAGCTGGTGCCAGCATCTTCCCTGGTGCTTCTCTCCTGCTCTCTGTCTGCCTGTCTCTCCCACCCACTCTCCAGAGGCAAGGTCCAGCTCCCCATCCTGTCTCATACGGTGCTCACACACACATATATACACACACTTCCCTACTCTCCATCCAAACTCCGAGTGGGGTCCAGATCCATTTCCTGTGCTGCTGGTGGCATGGGATATGCTATCACCCTCACAGTCTGGCGTGACATCACCTCGGGCACCTGGGGCCTCGCTGCTGTGCATCAGCACAGTCCCCCACTTTTTTCAGGCCAGGGGCCTGGAAACAGTGCCTCAGCTTGGGCATGAACCAGGCATGAGCCCCATCTGGGTGGAATTCCCGGCAGCACGCCGTCCCCCAAGAGCCCGCGGGGGCTTACCCTCGAGGTGGCCCAGGTAACTGCCAGCACCAGAGTCCGGGCAGCGCCACATTCGCTGCTGTGATCCCCAGGGTCGCCTGAGCTCTGCTTTCCCCCACGCCCCCCAAAAGAATGGAGGCTTCCAGAGCCCACTGCTGGCCCTGGGACTGTCCTGCTGAGAACAGAAATGGCAGGGCACCTGCCCTGGGGACCTCCGCCTCCAGGACTTTGCTGGGGCAGTGAGGTCAAGACACTTCTCTGGGGCTGGCACACGGAGCCCTCACCCGGGCCCTGGTCCAGGAACCAAGTTCATGATGGCCTTTGACCCACCCCGGGGCCTGTGAGGTGAGAGTCCCGCTGGCCTCCCCCACTGCCCCCTGCCGGCCTTGGGCCAGTGGCCAGCCAGCAGGAGGACTTTGCCCAGTACTACTTCATGCAGTGGGGTGCTAGCCAAGTGCCTTCCTGGCACTCAGTCCTCTACGAGGCCCGGAACTGGGATACTTTGCACAAGTTCCTCCTGACAGTGCTCAGAGGCTACACCCAGGTGACCCGTGCCACGAGCCTGGGTGAGCAGTGACAGGTGGCTTAGCCTCCTGCCACCAGCTGCTCTCTGGTGCATTTGCTGCCAGTGCTGGGAGTTAGGGGGCATCCAGCACCTTTCCCCTTTTGAGGTCTGAGCACTTCCTTTTCCACGCAGGTTCTACAAACCAGGGTAGAGCACTTGGAGCCAACACAGAGGTGAGAAACTGAGACAACCCCAGCTCGGGGTGCCAGACTGGGGCTGCCCGATGTCGGGGGCCGCATCTGGACAGTGCTGGGCACATCATGCAGCTGGTTCCCCCTTCCCACCTCCTCTCGCGGCTGCCCAGAGGGGTGGCCACCTCATTGATGACCTCATTTTACATCGAAGGAAACAGACAACCAACCCCAAGTGGCTCGCTAGGGATGGGCAGAGCCGCTGGCCAGGCCAGCTCTAACCTCCAGCCTGAGCTGGTGAGGCATGAAAAACAGGGCAGATGGCACCAGGTTCTAAAATAAGGAGGGAAAAAAATACCTCAATTATGTAACAGGACAATCTGTAAGCATATGCTGAGAAACAATCTCAGGCGGCCGCGGAAGCTGCACCGCCCTCACCCCCCACCCCCCAGGGCTGGGGGTCTCCTGCACGCTCCCCTGGGGAGAATATGCCTTCATGGGCCATTCTGAGCGGGCGCTCCCCAAGATCCCCAAGCCCAAGTCTCGAACCCAATGAAGGGGGTCGTGGGAACCCGCAGATGAGGAGGTGGGCCAGGCGGGCGCAGGGACTCTGGTGGGGATGAAGCAGACGCACTCTAGAAAACCCAGCCCTCCTGGTGTGGGCGGGCATCCAGCAAGGGAGTGGCAGCTGCAGAGTAACACCTGCTGGGTGTGACCCAGGGCCTGGGGAGGCTGCTTGGACCCCCAGAAACACAGGGAGGAAAGGGGGGCTCTGATCCCCTCAAGAGCTGGCCAGGAAACGCATGACTTCCTAAGAGGGCAAAACTACTGCCACAACGAGCTGCAGCCAACATTAAGTCTCAACTGGGCCTCAGTTTCTGTTTCCCCGAAGCAGGCCTTGCAGTTTCTGGTAGACTCCCAGTAGAGTAATTTGCCAAGGTAAGGAATTGGGCAGTTGGGTCTGGCAGGTCATAAGGGGTCACTGTGCCCTCCTTAGAAACTGTTACTAACCATTGTCTAATCGCTGATCACTGTTGTAATCGGGCCAATGCTAAAAATAGACCAGTATATCAATCGCTTCTGAACCCTATAGAAACCGCTTGTGATTTGGAGTCAGGGTCCTTGTGAAGACTCCACTGCGTTGCATGAGACTCGGACCCTAGCTCAAGCTAGCGATGGCTCAGGCTAGTAATCAAGCTCCTTTGCTTCTGCATTATTGTGTGTGGACTCCGTCTCTCTGCAATTGGGGATCTGAAACTCAGGCACAAGGGCCCGAGGGAAAAGTTACTCAGGCTCAAGTGCCCGTCTCAAACTTAGCCCCCGCATCCTGACTCTGACCCAGAGCTGCACACAAGCCAGATTCGGGGAAACGGCCAAGTCGGGTTCAAGCGCCTCCCGGTTGGAAGCCTTGGACGACAGGCTCACATGGCTCTCTGAGCAGCAGAGGACCTGGGACGGGGCTGGCTCCTCCATGTCTGCACAGGTGCCCTCACTCCTGATGCAGTGCTCCTCACAAACTGGCAGTGAGAACAGCTCCACCCCCACTCAGCGGACAAGGAGCCGGAGCCTGGACAGGTGGGGCCCTCACCTAAGATCACAGGACCAGGGCACCAGGGCGCAAGGCACCATGTCCCACCCCATCTGCGGGGGCTGGACCCAGCTCTGTGGAGATTGGAAAAGGCGCCTCAATGTCCACTTCCACTGGCCCTCAGCTTTA